ATGGCTGTCCTGAGTCCTCCAGGGCAGGGAGGACTCCCACTGAGGACCCTCAGCATCTTGCTTCGGGTTCCTCTCCTCCTAGGCCTCAGTTCCCAGCTGTACGAGGTGTGGGGGGGGGGGTTCGGTCGAGGGGGCCTTGCTGGGGTCCAGGGAGGATCCTCCTGGTGTCACCTCCCACCCAAGCCGTGGGCAGTGTTCTGTGTACATAGCCACCACCTCCTGCAACTCACTGCCCTCTCACTTCTGAAGAGCGTCAGCGTCTAAAATGCAAGGTTCCAGGAGGGGCCGTGGGCCTGACCCTACCTTCACCTCGGCGCACTCCCCTCTGCTGAGTCCCCTCTCCCGTAGCCCACCCCCACACACACCAGGCACATTGTCATCCACCGCTCCAGGTCTATTGAACGGATAAGTGGTCCTAAGAATAGCACTTGGGTGCCAGGCCCTGCTGACCTTTGGAATCCAGGAGGAAGTGAGGCAGATGAGGCCCTCCTGCCATAGGCCACCAGGCCAGTTAAGGATAGACCAGCAAGCAAAGAGTAAAAGGTCTTTATAGAACCATGCTGTGGACTCCAAAGGAAGTGATGCAGAAATAGGCAGATACTTCAACTGGGTGGTCCGGGGAGGCTCCTTAGAAGAGATAACATTTTCACTGGGACCTGAAAGATAAGAAGCAGCCAGTTTGGAAAGAGCTAAAAGAAGAGTGTGTGAGACAGAGGAAACAGTATGTACAAAGGCCCTGGGGCATGAGAAAGCCAGGGCCATTTGAACAAAAAGAAAGGAGGCCAGAAAGTTGTGGGGGAGGGCAGAGCAGACCTTGGAATGCAGCCGGGTATTCATGGAGAGGAATATGGATTTTGTTCTAAGTATAATAGGAAGCTATTTGAGAGTTTTGATCAGGGAAGTGACATGATCTAATTTATATTTTAAAACGATCATCTGAACAACCACTTTGGAGAGCAATTTGGCAATAACTAGTAAAGATGTGCATATACCACAACCCTGCAACCTGCTCCCAGAGAAACGCCGCCGGCACATGTGCACACAGACGTGCACAGATGACACCGCCGTTGCCCGCGGGAGGCAAAGCTGGGCACACCTGTCCGTGGATCGAGATAGAAAGGACGGCCGGGTGTGGGGCTGCCTCACCCTGGGACGTCCCAGCGTGGGTGAGCGGCGCGGGCCTGTACCTTTCAGGGACACACCAACCTAGGCAACCTGTTGTCGCAGGGCACATGTAGTGGCCCTCTGAAGAAAGCACTCGCCTAAATCAGGGGTGGGGCCTCTGCAGGAGCTTGCCTTCAGGCTGCCAGGGCCGTTGTTTCCTTGCTCTAAGTGAATGCCTGAGCCGGGGTGACTGACAGAGAATAAAGGTTTCTTGAGTCATGGTTCTGGTTCTGAAGCCCAGGACGGCGGCATGGGCATCTGGTCAGGGCCTTCTTCCTGCAGCACAGCCTGGCGCAGGACACCACGTGAGCACCAGGCCAGCTCACATCCCACTTTGCAGAAGGCCACCAATGCCATGGGGGGGGCACCCTCATGACCTCATGGAGCCTTCCTCACCTCCCAAAGGGTCACCTCCGCACACCACCCACCCGTGAAATGTGGGGTTAAGCTTCCAGCACATGAACTGGGGGGACCTGCAGACCGGAGCGCTCACATCTGTACGTACACGCGCTTTTTCATGTAAGAACTAAGTGGAAAAGGGTCCCAGGAGTTGGAGGGGCACTGAGGGGCTGCCAGGTGGGAGGGGACGCTGGAGGGGGCAGCAGAACCCAGGGTGCCTCCTTGGGGAAGTAGGACCCACCCCGCTGCAGCTGGGCAGAGGAGGCTGCCCGCCCAATGCTGGGCAGGGGTGGGGTCCACAGCCACCAGCAGGCCCTCCCCAGCCCCCTGTTCCCTACCTGCACTCTCCCCCGCGGTCTGCCAGGGCCCCTCTTCCTGCAGAGATGGCAGGACGCTGGCTGGGGCCCAAGCCCTCTGGGTAATTGGGTTTCAGGGATGCTCATGGATATGCTAATGGCGGGATGCTGAGCGCCTGCCCTGGCTCCTGGGGGAGGGGAGGCCCAGCAGCAGCGGGGGTCCCACAGCACCTGGCCCACCGAGCTCTGGACTCTTGGGAGGCCAGTGCCTGACCCGGCCCAGCTCCCCAGCTTTGGCAGCCCGGTGACCATGAGCAAGCCACTGGTGGGAGGGGTGCTGAACCTCTGAACCTCTCCTCATCTACCAAGTGGCCAAAATAATAGGACCCCCTCCTCGGGCTCCTGGTCCACCCCACACCCCTGGCCCAATGCCAGGCACAGGGGACAGGGGACAGGGGACGTGCTGGGTCAAAGCCCCAGTAGCCAGTTTCTGGTTTGGTTGAAAGTTAAGAGTTCCTACGGGGACGGGGACGAAGTGTGACAGGCCGGCGGGCGCTGCCTGCTGAGCGACAGGGTGACTCACTTTCCTCTCGCTGTTTGTTTATGTGTATTATCCAATTTGGGGCAATGAATCTGAATTTCCTGCGTAACCAAACGCCAGTGTGTGGAAGGTGCCCAGAGCCGGGCGGAGAGCCGTGTCCAGGGGATCTCTGGTTGCCGGGGGCTTGGGGTCCCGCAGGGGCATCCCAGCCAGGAGATGGGTCTCCAGGGGCCCCTCAGGAGCAGAGCCCAAGGAACCCAGGCAGGAAGGGGACCGAGAGTCCCTGTCTCAGGAGACCACAGCCAGGTCACCTCCTTGGAGCTAAAAGACTGGCTGGGCAGCTTCTGCAGGGACAGCTGCGTGGCGGGAGCCCTCAGGATGGCCAGAGCTGAGGGAGGGTGATGGAGGTGCAGGGGAAGGGAAGGGTCTGGAATGAGGTCACTGGAAGGAGAGCAGAGTCCAGGAAGGGCTGCCCGGTGGCGACCCCAGCTGCCCTCAGAGGAGAGGCAGGGCCCAGCTCTGGGGGGCCACCAGCCAGGGCCGATGAAGTCCAGCTGCGACTCAGACCCACAGAGTCCAGATCCCACCGCGTCCCCTGCCCGGGTGGTCTCAGGCCAGCCCTGGCTGTGAAATGGCCCTGCACGCCTGCCCGTGGCTCCCCAAAGGCTGGTGACCGTACCCATGCCCCCAGCCTCCTCCTGCCTGGGCCTCGGGCCCCCTGGCCACCGCCACAGCCAGGCCCAGTGACTTCAGTGTGCCCCCCCAAAGTTCACGTGCTGGAAACTAATTCCCCTGGGGGTAGTACTCCAAGGCAGGCCTTTGGGAGGAGATGAAGGTTCCTCGCGGTACCCAGGCCTTGGCCCTGCACCTCCCAGCCTCCAGAACTGAGAGCCAGTGGACCTCTATTCTTCATGAATCCCCTAGAC